TTTTAGACATATGAGCCGAGTATATTTGATGTTGGGTCTCTTTTCACATCCTACAAATTACAAATTAGTAGCTTTACGAGTTTTCGAAGGGGCCAGTTAAACTCTGATCTGGCTCTGAAAAGATTTTCTGGTGTTATTTTGGGTCATTTTGTGTAAATGTGAGTCGTCGGTGTCAGACTTTTTAGTGCGTCACACTTTTTAAACAGGAGGCAGGTCAGAGATTCTCCTCTCCCTCTGTTTTCATCCATCAAGTCACACAGTGGCTCTTAGGGAGGACTCATTTGTAAAAAGGGTTTTAATGAACAAAAAACGCACTCAAAAGGAGTGGATGACCAGACAAAGTTCAAACAAGGCTGACAAGACTATGAACAAAGTATCAAAGCAAGATTAACAAGACTATGAACAAAGTATTAAATCCAAATCTCTTGTGAACAAGGCAAAAACAAAACTGTGAATAAAGTGCAAAATCAAATGGTAAAAACAGTACTGTGACAAAGTACAAAATCAAAATCTCTCTTACGAGGCGTGAACATCAGGCTTTGTGTTGCACAGAAAAACCCTGGATGTTTTCAGCAGAACGTTAATCTAAAAACCCTCGAAACCGGAAAACCATCCTGCAAAACGCAGCCGTCTCAGAGCTGTAAACCAGCTTTGATACACTGATTGATTGGACCAAGTTTTCCTAGATTTCATGTTTTCTTTCTCTCATGAATTTCACAAAATGGAGTTCCAAAGGCCACCTGTAATCAGGTATATTAATAGATCAAACTCAGGTTGTTTGTAATGTTTTCCACCTATTGAATTGATTGACTTTACCTCCACAGCCACATTTCCATGACCCATTTCTCTTTTGTCCTCCTTTCGTTGGGTTTCCCTGAATACGGGAGATGGAAGTAACATCTTACTGATATAAAAAAAAGACCACATCAGCTTTCTGAACAACATCTGTACAGATCTGCACCTCCATGATGTTATTCACACACCAGTGAGACTTAGTTTCCATTTCCATCCGCTTGAGGTGCGCCATTTATGACGTGTGGAGGAAGAGTGTGCGCACAGGAAGGGAATTCATGCAAATCCTTTCCTCCTCAAATCACCGGCTCCATCTGGTTTGATCTTTTCAACAACTACTTCTCATCTTTTAACGTCCGGCCTTATTCGTCTCTTTGCTCTGCTTTGACGTTTTCCTCTCAGGTGAACGGGGTGACCACGGGGGACCTGAGGCACTCCGAGGTGGTGGCGCTGATCCGGGCGGGGGGGCAGGAAGTGCGCCTCCTGGTGGTGGACCAGAACACGGACGAGCTCTTCCTCAGGCTGGGAATCATGCCCACCAGCAGCCACATCAGAGGTCAGGATCTCAGAGGCCTTAAAGAAAACTTTATTTAAACAAAAGCACTCGCTGGGAGTGGAAAGAAAAAGTACAAAATAAGATGAGACGTGCATGGAACAATCTTCAGAAAAGACTGGAAGTTGAAGGATTTGATTCCAATCGGACATTTTAAACGATTGCTCAAAGCTTTGGAAATGAGATCTATGGAACAATCTGCAGAAAGACTGGAAGTTGAAGGATTTGATTCCAATCGGACATTTTAAACCATTGCTCAAAGGTTTGGAAATGAGATCTATGGTTTGTAAGTGTTTTATGAATTTCTAATTATAGATAGATGTAATTGTAAACTGTAATGTAATTTGTAATGTAATCTTATGCCGCTGTCTTGGCCAGGACTCCCTTGAAAAAGAGATCGTTAATCTCAATGGGACTTTTCCTGGTTAAATAAAGGAAAGAAAGAAGATCACTCTTAAAAACGAGGCGGAAAAGGCTAAGAAGAAAGTATCAAATTATAATCTCTCTAACGAGGCAGAGCAAAACTGTGGATAAATTAAAAAATAAACTCACACTTTGACACATGAAGGGAAGGGAACCCCAGGGGAACACAAAGAAGAAGACAATCAGACAGGTGACACACAGGGGAGTGTAAGAGACCTGAAACAAGGAGATGTACCTTTCAAAATAAAACAGGAAATTAAATGACAACATTTGAGACGGGACAAAACACCAAAAAATCAAAAATCCGCCAGGCATTACAGCTAGTTTAAATATAAGGAAAAAAATAATTAATTCAAGCACAAAGTTGCTCAATAAAAGTGGAATTATCTTTCCATGCTGCAAGTTAATTTTACTTGACAAGACGAGTTTGTTTCATTCTAAAAACTAAATTGCTCTTATGGGCCGTCATGGGCTCAAAATAAGTAGAAAATACTAATTTTAAGATGAAGTCACTTGAAATAAAAAAAAAGCACATTAACAAGTAAAATATACTTTAAATAAGCAAATAATGCTTAACTAGTTTTGGCATTCCTAATTTTAGTTAATTTCATTGCAAAGAAAAAAGAAAATTTCACAAGTTTAAGTGTAAAGTGATTCATTCTTGGATCTTAAGCCACGGTTAGCTTAAAACGAGGCCTTTATCCCAGATCATACATCTTTGTATGGGTTAGTTTAAGAGTTCTGTACTAAATACTAGAGATACGTAAGACAATATCATGCTAGATTTAAGAATAGACAGTGGACCCAAAGTTAAGGAACTAGTAATTAACACTTGAAAGAAGATAACCCATTTTATAAGTCCTGGGATAAGATTATAAATCTTGGTAAGAAGACAAAAGCTTCACCTCTTTCTTCTTCTCTTGTCTCAGAGGTCTATGTGGATGAGGCCCCGCCCCCTCCGGCCCCCCCCCCTCCGGCCGTAGACGCCCCCATCATTAGCGTTACCATGACGGATTCTCCCGTCACAACCCCGTCCCCAAAGTCCCGGACCAATGGGAGCTCAGCGTCCTCCTCCAGCTCCACCAGCCAATCAGAGATCAGCAGCTCGGACATGAGCTTCCAGGTGAGAGGCCACAAAACGAGCAGCCTGCAGGAGCCTCGGCTGGATATCCGAATCCTCCCACATCCAAGTCGGCCATTTTGATTAGGTCATGTGACTAGAAGCTTTCTGAGGTGGAAACGAAACTTTACTGTCTATACGAAATCAGAAGACAAACTATGTCCTATCCCTAGACCTAACCCTGATCCTGACCCTGACCCTAAACCTAACCCTGACCCTAACCCTAAACCTAACCCTAACCCTAACCTTAACCCTAACCCTGACCCTAACCCTAAACCTAACCCTAACCCTAACC